CACTTTTTCAGGATGAAAAAGTTCTAGAGATTGGTTGCATAACAATAGGAATATACTTAACACTATTGAACTATAAAAAACTTAAGATCTGATCTGAAAAAGGCAGGGTTTATATGAAATAACAAATGAAAATATTGGTGCACGATATACACAATTCTGTTTTGGCAAGGCAGTGACCAGAGTTTTAGAAGAAAAGTCCACCGTTGTGGTAACGTGTGGGAGAACATTTATGCAGAACATAAAGATTGGCAGCAATGAACGTCACGCATCATCTAGGGCAGTGGTTCTCAACCTCTGGCCCTTTAAATACAGTTCCTCATGTTGTGACCCAACCATAAAATTATTTTCGTTGCTATTTCATAACTGTAATGTTGCTACCATTATGAATCGTAATGTAAATATCTGATACGCAGGATGGTCTTAGGCGACCCCTGTGAAAGGGTCTTTCGACCGCCAAAGGGGTCGCTTCCCACAGGTTGAGAACTGCCGATCCAGGGGGGTCACATAAAATAAAAAACACAACTCATTACAATATTGCATGTTTGATTAATGAATGGACTTATTTCAAATAAGGTAAGGAATGCTAAGTGTTTCTCAATTATTTGGGCACAAAGCCTGTTTGTAGTTAACAGGTCAGTTAACAAGTAGTGCTAGGTGGACAGATTTCCAGGTTGCACCTATTCCTATGTGTAAACTCTGGGGGTTTGTCCAGTAGACGGTATAACTGGAGACAGATGATGTACACATTTAGGAACCTGATTACACCCACTAAATCTTGGGGGGAAATCATTTGAGAGGTGAGGTATTCATAAAAGTGGAAGCTTCTGGAATACAACAGAAGATCCTTGAGAAAATTCTAAGGCATTCAAATAGACCTGTTTGGACACTCAACACCAGGCAGTTGAGGACAGCCAGACCTGCTCCAATAGGTGGTCGGTTCTGGGGAAGAGACTCCAGGCCAAACCTCCTAACTTGCCTCCTTCACTCTTCCTGGAGGAGCAAACCCTTGGTCTGCACATTCGTTAAACTGGATAACGATTAGTGCAGCCAAAATTTCTTTCCATGCCACTGAATGTTTGCATATCATTCAAGCTCTGTAACTACTCTTCAGCTCCTAATAAATGTTGGAATATACTGAAAATACATCTATCAAAAATAAAGTTGAAACTGTTCAATATGCGAAGAGAAAGTTAGCTAAGAATTCAATTCAAGGTTGCAGCAACAGCACCCTTTAAGAAACTGTTCATGGCATTCATAAAGATTTGCATCTTAGAACATGAGCCAAATTTACACTTTGAAAATCATCTACTTCTTAAATTTTTTTCATTTATTGAGAGAGAGAGAGAGAGAGAGAGAGAGAGAGATTGAGATTGAAATTTGTGGTCCCACTTATTTATGCATCACTGGTTGATTCTTGTATGTGCCCTGACAGGATCAAACCCACAACCTTGGCGTATGGGATGACACTAACTAACTGAGCTACCCAGTCAATGCGAAAATCATCTACTTTTAAATGATTTTTAAGTGAAATTAATATTTTGAGCAAAATAATGCAGGAACCCAATTCAGTGCCCTCATGAGCGCCAAAGGGGGACAGAATAACACAAGATGAGTCCACGTGGAAGTATGCTATTTCGTGTATGTTTCTGTGTGCTTGAACGTAGCTACAGTAAAAAGTCTTTTAAAAAGCACCTTAATGGCTGTGAAAAAACATCCTCACTTTCCCCTAATCTCTTCATTAATTTCTAAAGTTTAGCGTGGGTCAGTGGTTGAGCATCAACCTAAGAACCTGGAGGTCACAGTTCGATTCCCGATCTGGGCACATGCCTGGGTTGCAGGCTCAGTCCCCCATGTGGGGTGTGCAGGAGGCAGCCAATCAATGGTTCTCTCTCATCATTGATGTTCCTATCTCTTCCTTCCTCTCTGAAATCAATAAAAAATATTTTTTTAAAAGTTAAATTACTAAAAAGTGTCTACCAAAAAAACCAGCAACAACTCTGGGTTCATAGGGAGCTGGGAGCTCTTGTTGTATGGCCCTCTGTCGATGCCAGGACCCTGCCACATCTTAGACTAGATCACTGGGTCTCCACTTGATTACCTGCAATGGGGAGCTTTCTATCTGACATCTCACAGCCTCCAAAAATACCTGAAGATTACCAGATTGAAGATTACACATGCCCAGCCACACACACGGACACACACACACACTCTCACACACACACACACTCACACACACACACTCACACACTCTCACACACACACACACACACTCACACACACAGCACACACACACACACTCACACCCAAGAATGAGCTGCTCTGCCGACCCTTCCAGCCTCAACCTGTGGATCAGGAACCACTGTGGACACCTCCAAAGCTCCACTAGGGCTTCCGAGAACCCAGCCTCCTTCCTGGGGCAGCCTCCACTCCCAGGGGCCCTTGGCTCCACCCGCACCTGTGTGGCCAGCCCCGGACAGAGAGCCTGGGGCAGGGACAGGAGAAACAGGAATAATAATTTGGATGCAAAACAGTTTGGGGGAAGTGGTGCCTAATGGGAGGGCTGGGGATTTGGCAAGATGAGAGTGCGGGAGGCTATGCCTGTGAGCGTCCAGAGCCCTGGTGAGTGTCCATAGTTCCTGGGGGTCCCCTGTCAAAGTTAAACAGGCCCAGGAGACTTTATTCAAGACCATGGCAATCGGGGTGAGAGACTGAGCTCAATCCATGGAAACAAAAGGTGGGAAGGGTTTCCAGTCCTGGAAGGGAAGTTGCTAGAGGATGAGCAGAGGGAGCTTGGTCCACGGGACGTGTCCAGCACGCTGCATCATTCCTGAGTCAGATGTTTGTCTGTGTCATTAGGCACCTCTGCTTGCTAATTGTCACTTATTCACGTTCAGCTCCTGCCCTCCCACGGAGCTGGGAGACAGGGCTGCTATCTTCCTTGATGAGGACATTTCAAAGGGGTGGCTCCCAGGTTCCTGAGAAAGGCACTCCTGGGTGTAAAACTGGCAAGAGGCTGGGAGAACTAGAAATATATCCCAAGAAAACAGAAACACCAGTCAGAAAGGGTATATGCACCCCTATGTTCATAGCAGCACAATTCACCAGAGCTAAGATCTGGAAACTGCCTAAGTGCCCATCAGCAGATGAATGGATTAGAAAACTGTGATACATCTACACGATGGAATACTATGCTGCTGTAAAAAACTCTTACCATTTGCAACAGCATGGATGGAACTGGAGAGCATTATGCTAAGTGAAATAAGCCAGTCAGAGAAAGATAAATATCTCATGATCTCACTCATTTGTGGAATATAATGAACGACATAAACTGATAAACAAAAGCAGAACCAGAGCCATAGAAGCATCGAACAGACTGTCCAACCTATGAGGG